CAAGTTGAGTTAAAGTGGGTCTCGTTGACAATGTGACTAAGTAGCGAGAACGAGTTCAAACCACTTCTACAATTGTGATAACTCAAATTTGTTAAAAATATCTTTAAACTTGTAAACTTGAGTAATATAGTTAAGTTTTCTCATTCAACAAAATATTTATTAAATATTAAAATGTTTTTGTCAGTGTAAAATATTTATTTATTTTTTATAAGTGCGTCCTTGTTTGTCTTGACGTGGGGCCTCTTCGCTCAACTTGATTGCTGTTGCCTCTCTTTTAGACTACTTGTTTTTTGACTTTTTTTAATCTTTTCGTAAAGCGAAACTTTTTATACCTTATAAAGTGCTACGTCCTTACTTTATAAGTGAATGGCGGATAAAAAACGTCTTCCTGATCGTGCGTTATATCAACCAGCGGGTAGAACTTCTGCGGAATATGATGCTTCATCAGCCCTCACCCAAAAAACTACTCCTAAGTCAAAAATATTAAAGGAATCGAAACACGTACCGGTATCAAATTCAAGCAGAAAGCCAAATTCGCGTGGCAAAAGTCATAGAAATCATGCGCGCAATGGTAGCAACACGGTACAACGAAGACCTAACCCGCCTGCATCAGGAGAAGAGGTGCTTGTTAGGACAAAGGCTCCTCCTGGAGCCACACAAACAAAAAAAGAAAACGACGATAAATCAATATCTGAAAATATTATTGGAAGCTCATCTTATCTTCAAGAATGCTCTAAATCTTATAGGGAAATACCAGATCCGACTAAGCCCCAAGCTGACGGAAGGGTTCACGGAGGACTTATTAGACTGCCGAAGAATATAAGTCTCTCTGTAGATCATCCTAAACTATCTCCTAATGTGCATGTTCCTAAGACCCAAGGTCAGTTTCGTTAATTACTTTATACTCTTTCAATCAATATGGTAACGTGTGTTAATATTTCAGGAGATAAGCCGGTTGTGGTTGTCAGACCTAGCGTGGTATCACAATCATCTTCAGACAAGTTCATGAATCAACCCTCGATATCTAGACGCAGCCGGACATCTGGTAGCTCAAGTATACCATGCACGTCATCTATGATTACTTCACATCCAAGTCAAGGCGTACAAGCACCATGGCCCTCATTCTTATCTGGTACTAACAATCCAATAAAATTGCCATCTGGTATGAATATTGAGGCTCTAAACAACTCTGATACCTTTCTTATGTTCTACAATTACTTCCAACAGCATGCTATGCATGGGACAACAGATCAAGGATATGTTCCTAATCCGCAAACGCTGCTCTCTAACTCAGTCTTAACAAATCCCTCTGCAGCTATGACTCACACCATAGATACTGCGATTTCCAAGTG